CTAAATTTTTTGTCTAGACCTAATTGAGTAAAGTATTTCAGATTCCATCATATTAAAAAATAGTTCAAAAATTCGATGCTAAGTGCTCTGAACTGTTTTTACTACTATGCACTCTTATTAATATAAATGCCTTTTAGTGTTATTTTTGAGCTACTCTCTTATCAGTCGAACACAGTCTTAGGTGGCTGTTTTTAAAGCCTTGGATCCGTAAAAATAAAATAACTCTTATTTTTATACTAAACTATTAACCTAAAATAGGTTATAACATGTTCAAATTTTTTAGTGCTTTATGTCAAAACACGTATAATTCATATGCTGTCAAAATTGCTTGCGACAAATTATTACGATAAAGAAACAAACTTCAGACTTTTTACATATGGGAGTATTGAAAAAACGCAAAAAAGAGCTTAATACTTGCAAGTTAATTTATGTTTAATAAAAATTTCTCTAGAATAGGTATTCTCTGGGAAAAATTATGAAAAAAAATATTGTGAAACAACTTTAAAATGTTGAAGGGTTGGCAACCCGAAAATATGTCTGTGTTAAAATACTTCCGAATACTTTTTATTGGACACCCATATTGTCATAATTTTTATAATTTAACGGATAGTGTATCTTATCCAATTCTTGTGACCATACTTTACGCTAGAATTCCGGTACCGGAAGAAGTATCGTAATGAGATTGAAACGTTTGTCATTTGAGAATAATCGGTCACGGTTTATAGGAGATACGACTTTTTTCGTGCTAAACGATGCTTTGAACCACTGTGCGCCAGCGCGTATGTTTACTAATATCTTTAGGTCGCCAACAGTTGTAATTTTTTTTACTGAATAAGGGGCCATTTAATTTCTATGCAATTCTAGAAAAACGTTTCTAAAATTTTGACTTTTTAAATTTTTTTTTTTAACATTTTGCCATACAAGTGTCACGTAACGCCAGTTCTGAAATACCCATATGCAAAAGTGAGTTTGTTTGTTTGTTACGCTTTCACACGTTAACTACGTAATCGATCATCATGAATGTTTCATAGTGCATATCTGTAGCAGTCAATAAAAAATAGATGAACACTAAAGTTTTATATATTTATTAGCAAATGACTTCGCTGTTTTCCCTGGCAGAAATACACTCGGAGGTTTTCCATTGTCTGCCGAGGGGAAAACAACTTTTTTGTTATTTTTGGATATCGTTGCCAAAAGCTTTTAGAGATTCCATATTAAAAACGATTAATTTACATACATATATTCGGACTCGTTCCAAGAGTCGTGTCGACTGCAAGTCGTTTTTCGAGAGTTGAATCGCATCCAAAATTTCATGTCATTGTCTAAAATTTCGACTCAACTAGTGTATCAAAACGTAACAACTTGGCAGCACTGCATAGTTTTTGACGATTTTCGTCGTTTATAGGGAATTTACATGAGGTGATTTTTCTGGAAACTTTTAGTTGAAAACAACAATCGCCTGGTGTAAACGGGCTTTCAACTAATCGCTTCCAATGAAGTTGGTTGGTGGCCTACTTTCGTTCAACTTTTGATTCAACTAATCGCCTGTGACAGTTGAATCATGTAAATTTCAGCACGACAGTAGACAATGCCAATGTTGTCGAATCGTACAATTTAGCCTAATTTACGACTTACGCAATGAGGCAGATTATTTTGTAGAATTTGTGCAAATTTAAAAATTTACAAACCTGAGCGAAAGCAAATTTGCAGGAATTTGCAAGTTTCCCTCTGCCAGCTAGTGTCCACGGTTGCATTTCTCTACTTAAAAGAGAACTTGGGAGCATTTTTTCTTGCTATCTGATATCTTGAGTGATAATTCTCGCTGAATTTTCGATGAACAAAACTATTGTCTTCCCAGAGAGTTTTGCTTTGCATAGAAATTTGTGCTCATTTTGACGCATTTCAATGTTGGTTCTTTAAATTTAAGTTGGCCTTAGGTTTTTGGAATTTAAATAAGTTCTCAGCAAAAAAAGTTTGTTTAAAAAATACATACAGTACATTAAAGGGGTCTAAAAATGTATGTAAAAAAATAAGGTCGGATTTTTAATGCCGCCACCCCCTAGGATTATTATATACCGAAAAAAATATACCCATATTTTTTTATTTTGGAATAAAAAATAATTTAGGTAGTGCTCAAAGCGCTCAAAGTTTTCCATGTATTTTATATGGAGAAAAAACATCTTTTCGTAGAAATAGTGTAGAATTCTTGAAAATCAATATTTTTCGATCGGAAATCTTTACTTATCTTCAGGAGATTCCCAGTAATAATACTCAATTGTTTCTTTAACAATTTTTTCATGGTAACTATATGTTATAGGTCCTCCAAAGCCCTTAGAAATTGCACTGGGGGACCAATAAAAAATCTTTAGTCATAAAAAATGGTTAAATAAACAATTGGGTATTAGTCTCCTGAAGAGAACCATAGTTTTCCGGTCGAAAAATATTGATTTTCAAGAGTTTTATACCATTTCTACGAAAAATTGTTTTTTCTCCATATAAAATACATGGAAAACTTTGAACGCTTTGAGCACTCCCTAAATATTTTTTGATTTCAAAACAAAAAAATAGGGGTATATTTTTTTCGATATAGATCATTCCTAGGGTGTGCCGGCATTAAAACTCCGACTTTATTTTTTTGTACCACTCTAATGTACATACATTGTGCTTGAAAATATCCATTTTTCCCTTACCTTAAACCCTTAAGCGTGGGCAACAATGATACTTTGTAATTAAGGCAGAATTGAATATGCGTTATCGGGAAACACCATACCTGTAATATTTATTCTATGTGTTGGCACTATATCCAAACACAAACGACTTAAATTTAAGACATTCATAACAAACATTTTCAGAAGAAATTCCCCGCTACGGCCTTCTTTAGAATAATATATTCGTTTATAAAAAAAAAGTTAGCGAAATCGGCCCAATTTTATATAAACCTGCCTGACATGGAAATTTTCTCTGCGATAAGGCTGGTAGCCATTTCTAATAGAGTTTGGATCGCTTAGTCGAAAATGGAAACCTATATATTTGAATTTTCAGAAAACAAGGCAAGTAACAACATCGGCTAAAAATGGCTATTTTTTTTTGCAAAACGGCTGACAAATCGGCTGCCGGCTAAATCGAAATTTGTTCGGCTGTTTGTTATGGCAACCGGGTAAATCTAGCCGGAAAACGGCTAAAATGGCAATACTGATACCTGTGCGTTTGTAGCACACTCGACGAGAACGTATTCAAAAGTAACGAAAATTTGCTGCTTTTATTCGTTACTTGTTTAATAATTAATATGCGCAGTTGACCGAAATGGAAGCGAACAAGTATTTAAATTTGTTATAATAATGATTCAAATTTAAAACGGGTTGTATAAAGAAAACCAGCCGAATTTTCACTTCGCCTTATTGAAATTTGGTTTATGCATCCGTTTTGAATCATTGCGAACTGAGTCAAAGCGCTTTATATTCGGTATATACAAGGTAATAGTTAGGGGATTTACAAGTCGTGTTAAGCGTTGTAATGTCTTAAGTGTTAGAATGCTTCAATGTAAAATAACGTTTAAAGCATTTTAAAAGATTTGATTAATTTAAAAACATTTTGATGAAGTTATAAATCGCGTAAATAGGTAAGGTTAACACGTATTGTGAATCCCCTAAATGTAACATACTCGTAATGGCCGAACTTGAGCTAAGTTCTTTTGTCAAATGTCCACAGATATGAACGTAAATTTGTATGATGTCAAAAATCGCCACGTAGTAAGTTTTCAAACAATTTTGAATTTTTTGAAAGCATGTTTGTGCATAGCGACCGATCCGACCTAATGTACATAAATAGATATGTACATGCATATATGCCTGCATTGCTATATTCGTATATATATACATACACACACATACGTATCTGCAGATCAAAACAAACTGTAAACTTGTTGCCAAAGCACAAAAAGTATTTACGTTTGTAGACGACACCAACTAAATACTCGACTAGCCAACAAAATAACCTGCTAGTCTCCTAGTCTCTAATACTACATGCTATTGACTTTTGTGCCAATGCGATTGTGAAGTACCAAAGCTTTTAACTAGCATTTGTAAGGTGTAATCTGGTGCGGAAAATATTTCAAATCTTAATAAAATAGAAAAATGTACATGCTAGCTAGAAATTTACCAGTACGAAAGAGTTCAAATAACTTGGAAAGCGATTTGGGTATGTAATTTTTTCGATCTTGTGGGGAATCGTACCGTAATGTGGATCTGCTGGGCAATTTTCTGCAATTGAATGCAATCGTTCTTAGCTATCAACTGAAAGTGTGAGAAGTAAATATACCCTTTTTTGAGACTTACAACTTTCGCTAAACCTCACCGTCTCCCAGCACAAATCACTCGAACGGGAACACCGAGAGTCATTGTCATTCGCAATTTGACTGTCGGAAAATTACTCCTCGTTCGAATGAATTGAAATGCCCTCAATTTATCGATTCGATAATATCATTTTGTGACTGATCTGCCGACATGGTCCACTGACTGGCCTTTAAAATTAAAAAATGGAAGATAGAAATAAATAGTCTGCTGCATAGATAGTGACCAACAGTTTCCCTGCATAAAGTGAAATATAATTTTTATGTTATAACCAAAATTTATTTGTGTTATAAAAAAGTTGTTAAGTATCATAAAATGGTCTATGCTCTATTGAGAGTGGCATAAATTCAAGTAAAACTATCTTTTAAAAATTTTGTGCTGAAAAATTGTATCTACAGATTTTTTTTAAATTGCAACTATTGATCTACAAGTGAGTAATCTCACTCAGTGTAAGAAAAAGATCCTATTGTCAAACGAGCGCCATGAGAGCTCATGGCATCATCTATCTAAAGATCTTACTCATCAACACAATACTTTTTCGCTTCTAATTACAACCAGTACTCTGCGCTTCCACCCTATGATGGCTAGCAGCTCTCAATGGAGAAGCAAATAAACCGCTCAAACAATTCGAAAACAGTCACGATTCAACATTGTACCGTGTCTCGCGCAAAGCGCGCACCGCAGCAACTAGACGCAACGCAACATCGAATACAGAAAGTCAGAAGGAATTATTGTAAAAGTAAATACTCAATAAGGCAAAAAAACACAAAAAAACTAGAAGAATTCGTTGAGAAAAAGGTAATAAAGAAATTGTGCCGCAAACAAAAAAAGAACGATGTGTATACATGTCTGTGTGTGTGTGTGTGTATGTCGCTTTAGTGTATGTGAAAAAAGAAAACAAAAGATTTAAGCAACGAACGCGAAGCGTACATACCAAGGCGCTTGAGTTATTGTTTTGGTTTTGTGGTTCCCTGAAATTTGCATACAAAATACTCGCATACCAAACATTCTACAACAAATTAGGTGTACAACATTCCTCACTCTTGGGCGCCCTGCATGCCACTTGTGTATGCCGATGGATGGTATAATTTATTGGAGTTACATACATATGTACATACATGCAGATATAGCGGTGTATTATTAACAGTGAAGAATTTTGAAAGCAAATGCAGATTTAAAGATTTAAAAAACTGCAAATATTTGTTATAATACATAATTATCTAATTTTGCTGTCAAACTCTATACAACTTTTAAAGCCGTTCTTCTTCTAACCAGTAATCTCCGATCATCAGAGTTGTTTTTCTTCATAGTTTCTTATATTGCCCTTACATTGTTATACTACCTCCATGTGGCATGAAAGTTATCCACTCCAAGCCTTACCACTGCCTGAGCAGTAAGGGCAATTACTATTTCAAACATAAAAAATTTTACAACAAAAATAATTGCCGCCAGCCGCATGAAGCCTGGGTTAAAAATCTCCACCATCACATTCTAACGGCGCGTCGGAGACAATATTGCATTCGTTAACTTTCTTCTTTCACTGCGCCAGCGCACGTATGCGAGACGCGCTCTTCCAAACTTACCTTTTTCCACCACCTAACTCCCTGCGCCACTTGCACCAACAGCCACAACTGCTGGCGGCATTGGCGTATTGCAAAATCGCTTTTCTTCTGCCATATTCTCTTTGCCACTAGGAGGAGTGTGCTTTCTTGTGTTGTCGCAATATCCATATGGCATCCGCTTGCTACATTGGGTTACTCGTTAAAACCGTAATTACTGTTAAAGCCGCAAATAAAAGCACTTAACGCGGCGATGAGTCTTTGGTGCGCGCTCCACGGGGCCCATACGCAGCTTCCAGTTAAAGCTACCTCCAGTTGTAGTCGTCGCAGACTTTTGTTGTGGTCTTCACCTGAGCACGCAAGCGCCGCACCTCACTTTTTTCTCCTGTTGAGTCTGTTGAGACTTGAGTACTTTAGTGGTAGACTACGCTAAATTTGATTTAAATGCGCCTGTCACTGTTGTCATTTATTGTCGCTGTCATTCTGTACGTTGGTTGTTAATTGCTGCTTTCTTGCCGTTGCTGATGTTGATCTTTGCCGCTTTAATGTGGTCATCATCTCTGGTAACTTCTTTGCCAGCTATGCACTGGATTTCTTGTATAAGTATGTAATAACAACACAACTCAAATTATTAAAATTTTCAGTAGAGCCAAATTAAAGTTTTCGCGCTTCGTAAATTGCAGTCATTATGTAGGAACAAATTTTAAGCTTTCTAATTTGGCTGCTTCATAAAGATTTAGTAAGTTCAGTAGTGAAGGTTTCCGACTTCGATTTTCATAAATACACAATGACCCAGATGTTCCATAGAAAAATATGTTTATTTATCAGTCTTATCCGCTGTATAATTTAAATACATACATGAAATTTCGATATGTGCGCATGTGCATGAGCTTTTGTAATTAGTGAAATATTTCTATTACCTTTAATCTTTTTATTCTTCGTCTTCTACATTTTAGAGTTTTAGTTTCCTTAATTGGCATTATTTTGCGACTTTTTCTGCTTTCGTATTTTAGTAATTTTTTTCTACATATTTTTCACATAGTACAACGCGTGTTGCACCCAAGTTTCGGAAATGTGTGTCATCTACGTCGCCCACTCAGTGATGATGATTCGTATGCCTGTGTGGTTATAAACATCAATTTTAAAAGTCGTTTAAAGATTAGATGTTCAATGTCATCTACAGAAGCGAACATCAAAAATACCAGCCTCAATATTAAATATTTCAGTATAATGCTAATGTCTACATTTACATATTTGTATGCTAATTAGTTTGATACTGGTTTATAGAAATAAGCAGACACATAATGTCTTTTAAAGCTTCGAAGTTGAAACTTTAATGCACCGGAGGTATAAGCCAGATGGGATTGAACTAGAAAAATTGCAGGGTCTTCAATAGCCACCTTACACTTGAGTTGGCATTGTCCAAACGTAGTTCACAAATTACGTCTTTCTCACGATAAAGTACATGGAACCAGCCACATTTAGAGATTCTCAAAAGTTACCGATGAAACTCTGAAACATATCGACCAATGATTGCGATTTTATCGTAAGCGACAAAAGGTAAATATCATAGGAGAGGTTTTTTTAATTCTCCCTTAAACAGTGTAAAAATTTATTTGGATTTAAATGGACAACAACATCATTGAATGATAGCTTTCTAATGGGACTATTTATCTTTTGCATACCTTATTTTCTAACGGTAAAATTGCGCTACGATATTATTCCTGAACATGCTGAGAGGAAAGTTATCACAGAATTGGCGCTTGCGATAGTTTTTAAGCTGTATAATCTGAATATTTATACACGAAGGAAAGTGCGGGTACTTAAGGATTGTTTGAAAAAAAAAACTGAATTTTAAATCAATTAAATATAAACACTGCCAATCAGCTGAATAAGCTCAACATTTTTTCATCTTTAACTGTTTGGTGCATCTACTAGATTGTCTCACAAGTTTTCTTCGTGGATGCGGTGTTGTTTTAAAAGAATGATAAAAAAGACGAAAATGTAATTGACGAATAGGTTCAGTGCCAAAATCTTCATATTGAGGAGATTTTCGAAATCAGTTGTTATATTTCTCGACTCGTCGTGTGTTTTAAACATTTGCTATCGGAGAAAAAAATTACTAAATGAAAACTTTCAATCTAGGGAATAAAATCAACCACTGCAATTTTATAAAAAGAAGGCTGAAGAGCAAAAGTTATTGTAAGTAGAAGGATAAACAAAAATCTTAAAGTATGTTTACATATAAATATAATCTCCATCAAAGCTAGTTTTTTAATCACCCCTTTTTCAAAGGAAAATCTCAAGGAAAAGTTATGTTTTTTCTCTGTACTACCGTGATCACTTTTTTCTGCTATATTAAACAATTTAAATATATTTTAACTTAATATTTGATTAAAAATGCCTTAACAAACCTCTTTTCCTTGGTAGCGTAAAAAAATATTCCGACGAACTAATAATCTTCTGTTTTTTTGAAGTCGGTTAAAAAGTAAATTGTTTGACATTTTGTGTTTTGCTTTTCATTAACAGATATTTATATCAATAGGGATTGAAGAAAGCATTATTAATCCTTGGGGTGCATTAGTTAAAGCTATTGTACCCCAGTTAAATCAGAAAATCAAAGCTTTTTTGTTCTAATAGCACATTCATTGGCTTTCGTGCATATCAAAAAAAAATAATAAAACAATGATGTGTATAATTGGAAACAGAAAATAATGGCGAGAAGGACCAAAGTCGAGAATGCAAGTTTTGACATAAACAGACAAGGCTGCCTTCAGGCCACCTTTACATTTTCACTTCTGAACCACGATTGGTTGTCTTCACCCAAAAAAAACTTCTCTTAATTGAAGAAAAACAGCAATCAAAATGAAGAAAAATTTTTTCAAGTTTATGTGACTTATGGTTTCCAATTTATGGCTGAATAAAAATTCACGCCCCCTTTTACAAACTCCTTTATATATATAGCCTCCTATAAGCACCTACCATTCACATGTTTGCATACCAAATTTCAAGTTTGTGTGACTTATGGTTCCGAAGTTATAGCTGATAAAAAATTCCACGCCTATGGGATGTGCCACGCCCCCTTTTATAAGCATCTACCATTGACATGTCTGCATACCAAGTTTCGAGTTCATGTGACTTATGGTCTGGAAGTTATGGCCCCCTTGTCGTATCCCAATTTTTTTCACCCTATTATAGGCCCAGGTGTAATGGCAATACTCTGTCATAATTTTGTTCGATTCCGTCCGTCCGTTTAGACTGCAATCTGGCACATACATACATACATACTTTCACAAATATATAGTAGATTTGTCGATTTCAAAGCCCTTTTAGAAGTACGAAAACAAGTTGCCTTAATGCCGCGATGCCCGAATTTGGTATCTCTGCGAAAATAATATGGCTGTGTAAAATGGGATTGACTAATACCACCGGCTACATCAGAATTGTGATTTATCTTTCTGTCTTATAGACAAGGTGGCTCTTTAATGTGTGATTTCTTTAATCTGATGTTGGAAAGGATAATAATAGCTACAGAGCTAAACCACGCAGGTACTTTCTTTTACAAAGCGTAAACTAGCTGGCGTATGCAGAAGACTTCGAGATCATCGATCTAAACAGTCAAGACGTTTTTTTTTGGCTTTCCTAAGTTGGATATGGAAGTAAAGCTGAAGGAAAAAGAGGACAGTGCGAAGTATCTTCTGTTCTGAAGCAAACAGTCAACATCAGCATCTGATATGGCAGCCGCCCTTGGGGTGTTCGAGACAGATTATGCTAAAGATTTATGGCACTTTACGAATTTTTTTCAGCGAGTATTGGAGAATACGAACGACATTGACATAGTTCAGCAAATTATTATACAACAGTTCCGCTGGCTAAGGGCTATGTCATACGAATAGATGCAAATGCTCCAGCCGTGAAAGCATTCGATGTGGTACCGACTAGTGGTGGAAAATGAAGGCCTTCTCTGCGTTGGAAAGATTAGGTGGTGAGAGACTTAGCTTCGCTCGGGGTTCCCTATTTCCGCGAGAAGAAGGAACGACCGAGACTGTATGTCAAAACGAGATAACAAAGAATATGAAGATAGCAAGCGCTAATTTCGAATTACAATTCTGTTGATGAGACGAAGGCTCAGCCAAAGTAGCAAAGGTTATTCACGGATATCGGGAATGCACAGTCAAGGTTATAGGGTTTTAGGGTAAATCCTAACTAAAAACCCCTATAAAAAGTAGTTAATACGGTAGAGGTAGGCCGGTCGATCAGTTGAATCCAAGTTATGTGTGTGTACCCTTTTCAGAATTTGAATAACTTAAGCTATCAATCCTATCTTGTCTTTAGCGTAAAGTATTATTTTACTCTACTCAAAAAATGAAGGAAGTTTTACAAGTTAGTGGATTATGACGATGTTGTGTGGATTCAGATTAGGGATAATTATCGACCGTTTTGCCGTTGTGTTCATGGACGCCCTGACAGTATTTCGAATGACTCTCTCGAAAGCTCCCAAAACCAGGTAATGATGAATTAATTGAGGAGCGTAATATTTTTCTCTTTTGCCTTTCTTAACTGAACAATGCTGTGCTAACGACCAAAGTGTTGAGGCTTACGATGTCTGCACCGTCCCCATACCGCAGCCGCAAATAAATATTGCAAATCAAACGGCTTTTCAGAAAGAAGTAGAGCCTAGAGTCTCAATTGCAGTACTATGAAGGAGTTTAAAGAGGCCCATTGGCTGCTAAGTATGGTCCTAGTAAGTGTATCACAGTGGAGTATGATTTGTTCTGCTGTCTCTCAGCATTTTTCACTTTAAGTGTTGATTTTCGATGTTTTCTAAAATGTGACTACCCGTCCGAATAGAACGTTAAATTCGGCTACATATATAGTATATATGCTCTGTCGTGAAGTATTTCCAGGGGATTCCCGATTGTGGCTTTCGACATCAATAACACAAGGCAAAACACTGATTTTGGTGCGGCAAATGTTAAAGCTGTTTTTGTTAGACTTTTTGGTGCTGATTACGAACCGTAAGTATAAAAATTCCATCAGGTCCAGATTTTGAGAAAAACTAGGCCAAAGTGTCTAAAATCGCGTTTTTTGCAATATTTGAGAGGCCTTAGCAAAGAAAGAAAAGGTGATAGAACCTTCTGCTTCGACTTAAATTAAAGCTAGAACTCTCGACTACTGTCCCTGCATACTATCCCTGCACCTTGACCTGACGGTCACTTATAATCATTTATTGAACAATAAAAAAGTGCTGAAAACTGTGCCTCTAAAAAAATTGCCAAAATGGCATTCTTTCTTATTCTGAGTTTCGCCCGAAAAAAAAATTCACCCGAAAATTTTTCATCCGCCCATAGTAAATACATGGAAACCAAAAGTGTAAAGTGAACCGGTTCGGGGAAAATAAAACTCATGACAATGCTGATTTTTATGGATTGTTGTTCAATGTTCAAATATTAACTCAAGCCTAAGTGGAAGGTTCTACCACCTTTAGTTTAATTGCGGTAGGTACCTATTCAAACTTCGCCAAAATCAGTTTTTGCTGTTTAACAAATGGCTATAAGTGACCATCAAGTCAAGGAGCCAGGAATGGTATTCTCAGGGATAGTAGTCAAAGGTTCTAGCTTTAATTCAAGCCTAAGTCCTTTGGTTTCTCTGCTAGAACTTATAAAATATTGCAAACAACGAGATTTTTTGACACTTTGACCTTGTTTTTCTCAAAATCTGGAGCTGACAGTAGCTTTGTACTTACGGATTTATAATCAGCACAAATAATTCTGTCAAAACCAGCTTTGTAATTTTTACTATTATAAGATAACGATTTTTTTCTAACACAGCAACTGCTTATCGACGCTAACGAGTTTTGTACCAAACGCTGATTTAGGTGCTAAGAACCTCAGCTTTGAAATATGATTTAAATACATATATTACAACATATTTTCGATTTGATTTCAAGATTTTAGTTTTGCTAATTTGCTTAATTACACTGTTCTCCAATCGGACACATTTTTCCCGTCTATCAGGGTGCATGGCGGGTAAGCCTTATATGGGTAAGCTGGTTCCAGTGGTGCTGGCGGACTTTTCTAGGTTAGCGGTAGAGATTGATCGTTTTGGGGTCTCCCGCTGAGTGCATTGTTTATCGGATTTAAAAACTAACTCAGAGTTATTTATATACATAAATACACCCATACATATACAGAAATGTGTAAACAAATCATTTGGATGTTCGATGTTTCTTTTCAGCGAAACTACAACGACCAACATTAAAGTGTGAGGGATCGCTACAAAATGCCTCAGACCAATTCCCACAATGCCGCAGATGCCATCGAACAAAAGTTACTCGGCATACTCGCGGCACAGGATCTAGGCGATATAACACAAGAACTATGCGATTTCTCCCTCGAAGAACAAAATGCAACAGCCGAGGCTCAGGGTATACAACCAAGCGCTGCGGCCGACTACATACCCGTGTTGGGCAAATCCGTGACCTATATTGTAGCCTGTGTGTTGTTTAATGAGCGCGATGAGGTACTCATGATGCAGGAGGCTAAGCAATCTTGTGCTGGTGAGTTGAAATTATTATCGTTTTTAAAGGGTGTAAAAATAAACACTTTTACTTTCTCAATGTTGTTGTGGCTTATTAACATTTTTATTTTGCATTTTTTACAATATTAAGAAAATAAAAATGTTAAAAGCCACACTAACATTGAAAAACACAAAGTTTATGAAGACCCTGCCTGAAACTATATGTGACCTGGTCTACGGAAAGGGGGCTTAGGTGTCAAAAAATCAATTTTCACTTTTTGGTTGATTCGGATGGAAGATGAGATGCTTTTTCACGTGGTGAAAAGCAGAAAATCCTAACTTGCTTAGAAGTGTACTAAAAATGTAGAGAAA